TTCGGAACGTTGCGATACGACCTCCAACTCGGTCTCTTGCTTCAAGTACAATTACTTCTAAACCAAACTGTTGCATTTGCTGCGCTGCAGCTAAACCAGCAATACCTGCTCCTATTACTATTACTTTACCTAACTTCTTAGTAGGTAAGGGCTGAAAGACAAGGATACAAATGTATATAGATATATATATGTTTTGTAGTGATACAATACACATACCTTTAACCGCTTAAATACACCAAAGTTTATGAAACCATGTCTTTCTAAAAAGGCATGAATTCTCCGTGCCAGTACTGTATCACTATTATAAGGCGGTTCAATAGCTGGCAAAGCATTTTCAACTATTAGTTGTTGCTTGGGATTTTCAAGCCACAACTGTAACTGTAATATCAAGGACAATTCATAAGTAAACTTAAAAACCCACAAGATAAAATATTTATTGTCGAATAACGTACAAGTCTATTTCTAATGTGAAGAAACACTTTTTGTGTTTGTGGTGGACCACCTGATACATCTGGAAAACAAGCTGCTTCTGTAGAAGTTAATTTATCAAAAGGAAGACGACTCTGAAATGCTGCTCCTTCTAATCCGTTAAGTAATTCTTTAACTGTAACCACAAATATGTGTTAAAATTACTTTCGGGCTAAGAAATATTTTGATATACAATATGTTCACCATGTGGATCTTCATGATCACTATCTTGATCATCCTCCTCTTTAACTTCCATTTTTGTTGCTGACGATGTGGGAGCAGACTGTGGTATGGTAGTTTCAGTTTCTTTTTTTACTTCAGGCACAACTTTTTTTTCTGGTGTTACAAGACCAGTTTTTGATTTTTCCGATGTATCTGAGGCATTCTCATCCTCTAATTGATTATATTTCTCCTCCATTTCCCTGTATTCCACCTACATATAAATAGGGAAGATAGATAACATGGCTTCATAAAACTCTGCTTTGACATATAGGTTAAACATTTTCAACTCTATTTATGACATAAAAGTTATATAAAATACTTACACTTTAACTTAAACGAATCATGTACAAATCAATTAAAAAAACTGAAACTTATGATTACTGTCAAGCAAATACAGATAGTAAATAATAGGTTTAATCAAAACATAACCTAGTCTACTTGTTTACAACACTGAAACGTGGGCTCTAACCACGTATAGTCTATAGATTAACATGTTTTCTGAATGACAACATGTCAAAGAGTATAGGAAAGCAGACATAGATTTAGTATTATAAGAAACCTTGAGAAACATAACATTCCAAGTATTCAACACCACAATAATTTTTATAAAAATAACCTTTCAAATCATGTAACATTTAAACTACTTGAAAAGCACAACAAAACAAACCTTCGCTCTTTTCCTTCGACTCATATTGCTGCTATATAGTAGGCTTTTCGCTTAATATGATCACTGCAATGTAAAGTCACACAGGTTTGTTTTGACTCTTCAAACCGGCGGCACATACAATTATGAAATCCAGAAACTATGGACAACATAGAAGACTACAGTTAGTAGCGTTATAGTTCATCGCCGACATCTGCAGGGAAACGAATAATAACTTTATCGGGGATTCCCTTAATCACTTTACCTAATATATTTGTTAATTCTTAATGTATATACGTCTTCATATGTTTCTTAGATACATATTCTTAAATAAATTATAATTACAATTACTTAAGAGTAATTCAAACAAAAACACAATTACGTTATTTGTAAATTCCTCATTATCAGTTGAGAAACTGCATTCGCCATCTACCGGAATATACAGCATTTCATCACATGAAATTTGTATTTATGTAATGTAAATATTAACCGCTATACATGCGGTTTTAACGTTGATAAACGTGCACTAACCAAATAACAAAAGCATAAATAAACCACGAAAAAAAATGGCAATTCACGTATGATTAAAATGAAATACATTCTTCTCAGGATTGTTAGAAATTTCTTACATATTGTTTCATTTCAGATTTTGAACAGATTATTAAGTTCCATTACATCCTATAGTACAAAAAGTCAAAGTAGATCTTTATTTTACTGGGTTCGTGATATGTTTAATAGGTACTACAAGTTGCTATTACTAAATGCTTAATGTAGAACAATTAATTTTACATACATGGCTATTTCTTAAAGAGTTGAAGAGGACCGTATATTGGTACTTGGTCCTGATGTCGCTTGTGCAATGTGGCTCCTAAGAAATGGAGCGTATGTCAGATGGAAAGGTTACTCTGAACACTTAATAGATTATAACAAAATACCAGAAGATGCTTCTTATTATATTGAAGCTGTTCATGCTGATAATGCTGGAATTAATCATGTTGGATTTCCATATTTTGGTAAATATTGTTTAAGTTTATGTTTATGGATGAAAATTGAATATACTTACGTAAGTTATCAATTTAGAAGGATGCAAACACATAAAGGAAATGAATCTGATAAGCTGTAAATATATTAATAATCAAGCTATGGCATTATTACCTCTGCTGAAAGATTCATTAACTGAAATAAACATCATAAAATGCAAAAGTGTTACCGATGAAGGATTATTATGTTTAAAAGATCTTAAGTATGTATAATATATAAACATTAAAAAAGTTTATTTTCTAGTTAATTACTTATATGTTTTTCAGAAATTTAAAATTAATAAAAGTTGAAGGATTACGATACCTTGAAGATAAAGAATCTGTACGTAATGAACTTAAGAATGCCTTACCTGATTGTGAAATTTGTATTAAATAAATGTATCTAAAAATGTATATTTTACTCATTATGATTTAACCCCATTTATGTGGAGCTTACTGTAGAATGGAAAATAATAAATAAAAGGAAAATATAATCTATCAGGTTTTGGAATAGTTATATAAAGTAGTCATTAGGATTCATATGAATAAAATAGTTCAAAGATACTTACACGTTAATATTATCCTTAATAAATGCATTATATTTGAATAAAAAGTTGAAACAAAAACTCAGAACTCTATGTTTAATTCTTCGTTAAAACCGGAAGTGATTTATTTGAAATCTCTCGACGGAAGTTACGAAATGTTCGCTAAAATTTAGTTGCCTTATGTTGGTCAACCTGCTACGTTAGATGTCATACTATTCCAAGTTTGAAATTCTTTAAAAGTGCTGTGCTTTTAGATTCAAGTTTTGAGGTGTTTCTATTGATTAAACATCTCAAAAATATTCATTAACATGTCACAACAAATGAATATTCTATGTTGCTTTTCCTGCAATATCTATCAGGTGGGTTCTAATGCTTTAAATTCTAAAATCATGGTTTTAATATACAATTTTTCATCTCCTGCCAACTGTGTACTTTCCAGGTTCATATAGTCAAAACTTCAAAGAAATGGCAATGCAAAATATGTAATAAAAAACAGCCCTTCAGACAGGTAAGTTTGTTACTGTTTTATGAATTTAGTAATTCTTTGTTAAGTTGTTTTATAGTAAGAACTATAGTAATACATTTGTAATCTAAATCATACTTTTAGATATTTTTTCAAGGGTCAGGGAAAGATTGTCGTGTTCAGGTTCAAAAATTAAATGCGATGAAAGAATACGAAAGTCAAATGAATCCATCTTTCGAGATGGTCAGTAGTACACATCATAGTAATTACCAGAATAATTACACTGACCAACCTAAAGCAAAAATATCAGAAAACAAATGGGCAAAGTATTTAGACACATCTGATAAAGATCTGTTTAATGCTGTTGAAAATTCTAATCATGAATATGTTTTTGATAAAGCAATTGATGATTCTGTTTACTCAAATAATGATAATTCTTCACATGGATGTTCTCAAAGTAGCAACATATATAGTAATTTTGATCAGAATGATACTACACAAATTGTTAGTTCTGACGATGAAGCAGAATCTCCTAGTTTTGTAGAACAAGAAATTTCTCATACTATATTGACTACTAGGGATGATAACAAAAGTAATGATTCTTATAACTCGAATACCACAGAAACAAATAAGAAAAATATTTTTGATGATAATGAAGACTTTGATCTCGTCATTGATTTTTAACTTTCTTAATTTAAATAATTTGATAACTTTTAATTTAAATAATTATCCCCATATGTGTAACATATATTTATTCTCTATAGTATGTGTATAAGAAGTACATGTTAGTAATTCTTCAATTTCTTTTCTTCATAAAAATAAAATAGATAAATAAAACAAAAATGATCACTTGGACAGTATTTATTTATTTCACATGATTTAAATACATTGTTTTAGTTTCAAAATCTTGAAGATATCTTCAGAATACTAACTGAAAACCTAGTACGTAACACAGACATACACTTGTAAAAAAATAAAATGCTAATGGAGACAATTATGCAGCCATTTCATTTAAATAATATATAATTTGTATTAGGAAAGGTTCGAGTATTGTCTAAAACGTTTATTCATTAAGCGATTACGTCCAATTCAGTGCAGCGTATAGATCCATCAGCATTTCATTTTTTATCATAAAGACTGTTAGGTGTAGCAATCACAAGAGTTTTCATACTGCTTCTAATAAGAAAAGAGATTGCGCACAAAGTTTTATTGAAGTATAAACAGTCTTAGCGTTGCATACATTCAGACAGTGGCTGGAGTTACTTTCTGCTTTTTATTCTTATACTGTCTGTACAATGAAGGTCAAAGATGTCAGTAAAAGTGTGACAGTAATGATCGTAAGACAATTTTATGACGATGCGTCGCAAGAGCAACTCATCATTTATTCAATATTGCTTAAAGGCAATATTAAATTTAAATATATGGCAGCTGTAATGGAATAAACCGTTCACGATTGTACGAACGTTGTAAACAGTTGTTTGACGCGGGATTAGGCGAAAAACTTTTCGTTTTCATGGTAGGATAATTTTGTTATTGTGTTATTTATTTCGTTGTGCGTTTCAGTCCACAGTAAAAAAATCCAAATTGGAACTGCCCTAATTGCGGTACACGATTACTTGAATTCTTTCTCTTTTCCTCGGGCAATCTACTACCTAGACAGAAAGTAGTTCTGATCGTCTAGTTCCGGATAATCGGCACTCTCAAATTGCTCTAGATCTTATTCGGCAAGATTATCGACACAAATTATCCGCTTCGTTATACAAAGAGACCTAAAGAGACGAGGGTAAATAAATTATTATAAAAAATATTTCCTATTAAGTAAAAAAGAAAAAAAGGATCGTCATCGGGTCGTATTCTCATTTCCCTTTTTTTTTGTCGCGTGCGCCAACGAAACACCCCTTTGCACGATGCACGCGGTAATTAATTTCACGGTTGAAAAACGTTAATCGTTAAAAAGATCTGCACTGTGCTCGTCGAACCGTGAGCTTCGTCTAATGGAATCAAAACGTTTGTCAATTAAATACATATATAATATTTATATGTATATTATATATATATATATATATATCACGTTTCCGTTTCCGTTCAATTAAATATCACTAAATAAATTACATTATTAAATGCATCGCGAAATTAATTAATATACATCTAAGGCAAAATGCATCGCGCACCCTCCGGCAATGCATCCTAAAAGAAAAACAAACGGACCGATCAGTACTGGTGTCTGTGCCGCCGGAAGTTCACTGAATCCTGATGATACCTCCAACTGCTCTGCCAGCTTCTGCTGCGTCTGTTCCAAACACTGTTCCAACAAGAAAATAAACTTTCAGTAAACACGCTCCGCGGTCGCGCAACATTATCTTCCGCCGTTACTCGTCTATTCTAATGGTTCGCATATTAAGTCTCAAGCACTTCAAACATGCTTTACTTACTTTTGCAACTTTTTTCGTCTCTTATTAGGTGGACTACCAAGTTCACTTTCACGAATAATTTGCAAAGCTGACGGTACAAACATATCGTCTAGGAAAACGAACAACATGTAATCAACGGTAATGAGAGACACGATTAAATGGGGTTGCAAACGGGCTTACCAAACGTGTTCGCGTATTTTCTCTTCGAGATCAATCTCTGGTGTTGCTGTGGCTGCGGAAGAGCCTCTTTCGCGTTTCCAACCGTGCAATCCCTCGTCCCCTTGCATCCCTTCAGGTGTTCCAATTGATCGTGAAGATACGATCGTTCGGTTGATGTTAGTGACGATATCCTGTTCCACTGCTCGAATGGATCTGTGTAGAAAAAACGAAAATGAACACAAGAGGATGAACAGTTAATATTACAGTCGCGAGATAAGCTTACCAATTCTCAAATTGTAAAACGTGACCAAGCCGGTGGTGAACTCGCAATAAAGGAAATTATGCGTCGCGTTGATGGTGCGAATGCACGAGTAGGTATTATTGTTGGCGTTCGTACAGAAACAGAACGGGCCGGCACTCCACAACGGAGCTGTCCGCCAGTGATCGTTATCGTGCTCGAAACAATTCATTTTCTCGGTTAGGCATTCCTTTTCCAGCTTGGCCTTCTTTCGTAGCTTCCTCTCCTTCTTCTTCAGGCGTTCTTTTTTCAGTCTTCTCCTCTCCTCGCGGGCGATTTCTTTCTCGTCCTTCTTCACGAATGAGTCGGGCTCGCAGTAACACTTGTGCCGAGCTTCCAGAGGATTGTTCAGCAGCGGCGGTAATCGTCGGTTACTCGGTAAATCTGTAATATCTATCATTTAAAAGGATTCTCGCGAAATGATCCGTAATAAGTGAAAGTACAAAAAAGTCTTCTTTATCCTGTTAGGAATACTTACACCCGGAAGACGATACAAATATTTCATACCGAATATCAGAAGTGAAAAATACTCTAAACACCTAGTAATCTTAGAACTCTCAAAATGATCACCAACCTTGCCTGTTCTTCCTGTCAGGTGATTCCAAAATAGTAACATCTATTCTAGATGGTCCAAGATTGGCAGTGGTTCTATTCTTGTGGATCTTCGGTGTCTTTCTCGCTGGAGCGACCGTGACGGGGTTCGTCATCGGTGTCGTAATCATAGTAGACGGCAACGACGCAGTTTTGGATCGATCATCTGTCGTAGATTTAGCGATTATAGTGCTCGTTCGTTGCGGCTCTATCGGCTCCGAGTGACTAGAAGGCTCCGAGCCAGTTAACCCAGTTTGCGAGTCCATTTCTATAGTGGTCTCTTTATTAAAATCATTGGTAGTGCCCAAGGTGTTCGTGGTCTCTCTTTGAAGAGTTGTTTCCTTCATCGTAGTAGTTGGCAGAGTGGTGTACTTGGCTTGATGCACCTGACTCCTTTGAGTCGTCGTTGTGCTTTGCGTGGGCACGGTCGTCTCCGTGGTTTCGCTAACATTGACCGTGGACACTTCATCGTGGACGCTGTTCGTGAACAGCGTGTTGTTCCTACGATGGTGATGGACCTTTCTTCGTCTCAGCGGCTTGTCCTCCTCAACTTCCGTTCGATTTCCGAGCGTCTCTTTAATCTTCGGACGACGAGAAAATTTCTTAGATCTAACGGTCGTCGTCGACTGCGTCGTCGTAGTCGATTCTGTCGTGGTAATCGTCTCACTGTCCGTCCTCTCCGTCAGTGTAACGCTGACTCTTGGTTTCTCTGTAATTTCCGTAGTAGTGGTCTTGTCCTCGGTGACTTGACTCGGCTTCAAAGTGGTCCGGGCAGTCGTAGTCACAGGTTGAACAGCATGATCGTGTTTCTTGTGATGACGATTCGAATGAGGCTTCGATACGTTGTGATGCGATCTCCCGTCCTTGGCGTCCTCCATCGCTTCCTCCGGATCCGGGATGAAATGAGGACGCTTGATCATCAAATGACGGCGTATCTCCTGAAAAAGGAAGATACGATGCTTATCGAGCGAGATTGAATGGTTGTCGCCGGCACTCACTCTCAGTGTCTCCAGCTGCATCCTCATTTCTCTTATCTGTTGCTCGATTTCTCGCCTGGAGATACGCCATTCGTTCGGGTCTTGGTAAACTGTTTCTGAACAGTTCACTCCGCCCTGGGGGAGAACCGAGCACTTCGGCGGAAGTGTTTTCCGCGTTTGCGAATGACGAGCTTGGGTGGCCTGATAGAACAAATAGAACCTCAGTCCACATTTAGAGGATCGAGTATTCACGATCAATATACGATAATTACCTTCAAGTCGTCCAGTTCTTCCTCGATGCTTTCCATGATCTTGGTCACGTGTTCAACGGTATCCTTCTTCGTCACGCTCCTCCGTATCCTCCTGTGCCTCCTGACAACGTCCTCGACGTTCAATCGACCCTTCACCACCTTGTCCAAGCTCGGATCGAAGTCGTCCATCGAGTACTCTAACAGGTTATCGAATTCAAGCCGGTCCTTACCAAACGTGCGATTATCATGCCAGTCCCTGAACACGCGTACATTCGTTAAACACCACCGGTTAATTTATCGGACAAGGTATATATGCTTGCTAGAGTCTACCTGGAGAGAAAGCTGGCGTATTCACTTCTCACGTCTCTGGCCAGTTGATTTAACTCCTCCATGAACTCTTCGTCGTCTTCCTCGTCTATCGCGCGTCGGTCCCGTTCATCGTCATTATAGTCGTCCTCATACGCGTTCGTATCTCGTCCGTCATCTTTGCCGGCCTCGTCCGACACGTCTCGCTTGCCTGAGAAAAATCGACGACTCCGTTCTTAGACTATACGGTTCTTGACGCGTTTCCTGTGTCCCGGGCTAATTTGTAGGAGATAAAACTGAGCACGATTTTATTTCTTGTATCAGGGATTTTATTTCATATATATATATATATATATAGGTATCTGTATATTCAATCGCGGAGCGAAGTATTTGAACTATGGAGACAGTTAAAAACCAGTAAATGAATACCTTCGTCGTCGTGAATTTTATACGACGTTCGAGCTGATATCGGGCATAAACTCTATTTCTTTATATTTGATCGCGTCCCGTAATTCACTAACTAGTTCGAATGTAAATTCGTAATAGTATAGTTTCACGAATGACTGGTTTTATTTCCTTGCGAATTAGCGACTGGTATAAAGAACTTGCATAAAGATCTATTGATTGCCCACCTCGTCTAGCGAAGTATCTAGCCACGTCTGCATAGATGTCTGGCCTCCTGTCCCTGGCCACGCCATATCGATGCCCCTCGAAGTCGTTCGATTCTAATCTGGTGTAGACCACACCGTTCGGCGTGAAGCAGGCGCATTTCTTTGACACTCTGGGCGGCGGTGCAGCGTATTTGCACTTGTGTCTGCGCCAACGGTGGCCATCCCTCTCGCAACGCCATTTTTGGCCCAGCACGCAGTTCGCCTGGGCTTCCGGTCGCGAACACTCGATCGCGAGACGCTCGTGCTTCGTGGAATAGCTCGGGTGCACCGGATGCACTCTATTGTCCAGATGAGGATCGACATCTAAAAGAATTTATCTTGAGAGAAAATCCCGCGACTGACCAGAGATTTCAATGAAACTCGCGTGAAACGTAGAAATCAAAGAAATATACGACGCGTGTTTTATTGGTCATTTGTCATCTTTTCATATTTAGGGGTTGGAAATAGCCCTTAAAGTCGGAGTTATAACTAGTAGACTCGAGATGTCTACTTCTCAAAGCCTCTCACTCCTCTCTGAGTGTCTAAGATTATTTCTCGCGGTTCTTGACCCAGAATGCGACTCGTCCCTACTAAAAGTCGAGATGAGGATCCATATCCGGAAGGATTCACGATTGTCCGCGGGCGTATTTCAATCGGGGATGTTCGGTATCGATCCTCGGAACGGTCTCGTTTATAGCAGTAGTTCGAAGCCGGTCTACGAGGACGAAAGTGACGGCATGGTTTTATGAAGGGAACGCGGGCCAATAAAACGGGATTAGAGCTGATCGTTGCGTAAATCCTGGCCAAGAGCCTAGCCGTGATTTATGTCCAAACCCGGACCCTTTCCATCGCGGTAATCCCGTTGGGTTGAATAAGATTTCATTTGAGCTAACCGCGACCATTACTTCGACCGCGGCCCGTTTCTTCAAGCCCGCGAGATTTATCGAAGTTGAGCTTCGCCCTCGCGAAAGTTACGCGAGCGTAAACCGATCAAAATTACAATTAAACTTTTCCGCCGGCGAACGATCGATTTCCCGTGCGAAACACGGGATAAACAACTTCCGATCAAAACTCGGAACTTCTCCGTCCGATCGCCTCTACGGTCTTCAACTAGCCAGAAGCGACCGAACGCTGTTAAACCAGTTAAAACCCGTTTAATGCCACCGACAGCTTCGCGAATCCGTACTTAACGTAATTTATTCATTGAGCCATCGGATCATAGGCGTGAGATCGCAGAGGAGGGACGGGTTTATTACACCGGAAAGGTTAACGCGACGTTGTCGCGAAGTGTTAAGGCTCCGGCGTAATAGAAACCTCGTATCCGTTAACACTTCGACCGTCTCATTAGTCATGCATAAGTGACACTATCCCACGGATAACGAAATTCGTTGCAACATTGATCTCCGTAATAAATCTCCGCTTCTCAATTTCCGTTCCACTGAACGAACTGTCACGGTCTTATAGGGTTTCGCGTCGAATAAAATCTTATCGGAATAAACATATCGTTACTGGAATCGTCGATGATAGAGTCCTCGAGATCATCATCCTCGGAGATGTCCTGGTCGCTGCCCGTGTCGTTGTCCAGGAATCGTGGATGCTCCGGATCATGCTCCGCATCCGGATCGCCCGCGATCTCGTCCTCCTCTTCCGGTGTCGTGTGCTGTCTCGCGATCGTCGCGTTATGCCTCCTCGCCTCCCTCGCCTTTGCTTCGGCGATCGATTCCGGCGTTTCCCGGCGCCCGGACGATTCGATCAGGAACGTGTCTGGCCATTTGAATTTCGATCTTCTCCCGTGTTTGCTGCAACCGAGCGAAATTTCGTTCGTCCATCGATCCGATCTCCCTTTTTCTCGGTTTCGAGAGATCCGCCGAGCCGGATAACGGTTTTTTAACCGGCCCGGGCGGAATTGGCAACGCGTACTCACTTCTGGAAAAGTTTCTTGAAAGAACGACCGTCCATCTGCGGCGGCGTCTCGACGCCGGCTATGTCCAGGAACGTCGGCGCCAAGTCGATGTTCAAAACTATGTCGTCTACGCTGCAACGTTATATAGATATGCTTTATCGTAATCCAATATTGGAGACCCGACCCCGCATCCCCTCAGCCCCCGACGCCGCCCCGGGGGTAAATACCGGACGCCTCGCTCCACCCCGTCGCGCGAGCATATTCGCATCTCGCGAGTCCCCCGGCATTTTCATCCCCCCCTGGACGAATTCCCTGGCTTTTTATCCCTCGACCTTATCGTACCCTTGCCCGTCGCAATATATTCCGCGTTTTACGGCATCGTGATCGTGGAGGACAATTTACTTACGACCGTCCCTTCGAAAAGATCACCCTCGTATTTGCGGAGTATTTTTATCTTTGCTCCTCTTGAATTTTTAAAGTATTTCTTTCAGAGAATTTTGATATTGTGGAATGTAAGCTTTCACCCATAATTAACGATTTATTTCTCTGTGATAGAATTTCTGATATGATGGATATTGTATTAGCATAAAATTAATTATGAATGAAATTCTAATGTAGAAAATTTGAAGAAAATGTTAAGAAAGGAAGCATGATATCGGCAAAGAGGATTTTAAAATGATCACACTCATCGACGTCAAGTTTATCCTGCGCAGTGAAGGCTATATCATTCCCGCGATAAAATAAGTCGATCGTAGCGCAAAAACAGCGTCATACTTGCGAGAAACCCGTGGAAAACGCTCAAACATAACAAAAACTCCAGTCCCGCGGTTAAGAGCCGCGCAAACAACTGTAAAAGAAAAAGCGCCGTCCTTGCGGAAAATTCGTAAACAGCATCCCACCCCTAACCAAAGAAAACGAGTTCACCCTGGCCCGACGTCCTCTGCCAAAAAGGTGACCGTGGCCGTCGTGTCTTTAACAATGCGAGCGCGACCGCGTCTTTCCGCTCGAGGACGCAGAATCGCGGCGCCGTTTGTTAAATCGCGCGGGGCAGAAGAACCGTAGCGTAGGACAGCACGCGGAAGTTGCCGCGTGCGTCATTAATCTAACCGCGATGTTTATAACAGACGTGTATCCCCCGGTCGTGCTTCAATTTATAAGCGAGTGGACGTTGGTTCGCGTTCGCACGGTAGTTTGGCAACGGGCTGAGAACAGCCGAACCAGCAGTGTGAGTCGTCTCCTCCGTGCTTCCCTTGTCTTTTTTTTTCGTCGCCCGCGACGGATATAATTTATCGTCTCTCGTGGAGGCTTCCTCGCAGCGGGCCCCCGCGGAACCGTAATTCCAGGAGACGGCCAGACAACGGCCACTTAACGGCGAGTGCTCTATTTATTGCCTCGGAACACCGTGTACACGGGGGATGAAGAGCGCAGCGGTGGTAGGGGATCGAGAAGAAACGGAGGCACGTTCGATCGTTTCAACGCGGCGATCGTTCAGGCTCGTCGACGAAAATTATCGCGTTCCCCCCGTCGTCCGTTTCCCGGCCACGGATTTACGGGACACGCGGATATCGTCGTCTCGTCGTTCGCGGCCGCGCCGTAGCCTGCAATTAGGTGCGCAACAATGTCGAGGAGAGGCTCGTCAGACAGAGGGGGAGCAACGGTTGGATTGCTTCTGTAAAACGGGAAGCCCGGGAACGCGAGGGGGGACGCGCGGGAATCCCGGAACGCGGTTCAACGTCGCGATGCATCTTCCGCGAGCAGGTAGGCGAATCAATTTGCCCGGGACGGCTGAGCGCGCCGGACATCGTTCACTGGTCGGCCGTGAGCGGCGATGATTCTATGCGCCGTCGCGCCTCTACTTGTCACTTAGCAATCGTTCGTTTATTTGCGCTATTAGATCCGTCTCCCATACGCGGGCCGGCTTAACGAGCCATCGCACCGCGTCCTACGCGCGGAATGAAAATAATAAACAAGCCTGCTACTGGCGGCGCTTACATGGTGCCGGGCTCGATTCCAGGTCCCCTGATCAAGAACGGCACCCTGACGTCGAACTCGAACGGGAAGCTCTTCCCTTTGATCAGGCCGAACTGGCCCAAATGGTAGCCGTGGTCCGACGTGTATATTATGTACGTGTTGTCCAGCTCGCCCAGGTCTTTCAGTTCTTGGTAGATCTGCCGGGCAGAGATCGGAATAAATCAACGTTTCAACGAAGCGGCGCGCACCGCCGGTGTTCGGCTGGTTCACCGAATGATTCGAATAGCTGGAACGGTCAATTAACGGGCCCGTCGACGGAGATGATTAATCCCTGCGACGACCGGGTTACTCACGGGATTTACTGTGAATTTGCTATTCGGGGAATTGGGGTTTAACGCGAATTGAAATTGCCGCTGCTCCGTTAGTGCTACTTTTCTGAATCACGCATACCCTGTCCACCGCGTCGTCCACGCTCTGCAGCGTCTGCAGTCTCTTGGTCATCAGCAGGTCCGTGAACTGTTTGTGGATCGGCTGCATCTTCTGCGTCACTTGTAGGATCCATTGTTTATCCGGGTTCGGGGCGTAGTCGTAGGCGGGTGTACTGAAACGAAACAATTCGTTGCATAGGGATTTATCACAGACATGGATCTCGAGGAATTCATTGATCGGATTCATTAATGGAGCACCATGAGAGAATTCTCAGAAAGTTTTTGTATTACTTCAATTGCATGATCGTGGATTTTCGTGGAGATATCATTTCTTTCGCCTATCTCTCGCGCTCTAGTTTAACGCGATCCGGTGTACTTATTAAAATTCTTTATCAAAGAATTAAGTATCTATCTAGCGTCGAGGTTTGTAATTTCGCCTGAAAAATTTCAAGATCCCGCGAACTTCCTTATTCGAATCGGCGTCGTTGGTTCGTCGCCGGGTTTCCAGGCATCGGTAGCTAATTGCCGGTTGCTCGGGCCGTGTTCCCTCAAAGTCGTAGAATCCCTATTAGCCGATTAAGACCCGGCACGGCTCGGGTAACTAGGATTTAGATGCGTGCGTTCCTCGGTGCGCGCGGAATCCGAGCCGACTAGGCGAAATTGAATTAATCTCGAGTATCTAGCGAGGACGCGGGAGTTCGATGCAGCCGGGAAGGTGAAATGCGTTGGACCCTCGAGACACACGGCGCCCCCTCCTTCTCGCCCCCACTCCCCGGACCGTCCTCTTTCAGCCTAGCTCTCCACCAATTACGCGAGACACGAAATTATGGGTAATTGGCCCTTCACCTTCCTCCACGTCCTTCAGGAACGCTCGCCTCGAACGCGGAGGATCTTTGTCTTATTGGGCGGGCCTTCTCGGGCACGGGATGCAGGGAACAGGTTTACGGCCCCGCTCGTTCAGAGTTTCATAGAGTACCGAACGGTCACCGACGGAAAACTCGAGACGTCCGTACGCTACGCTGCCCATGAAATTTATCGAGAGAAGTCTCGTCCGAGATCGAAGATTCGCGTCTTCCTTCTTCTACAAGGCGATCCTCTTGATAGCTTCTCAATGGGAAACCGATTTCTTTGATGGCAGCAGTATTTTGACGCGACAAACAACATTGCTTCAGTTATCATCGTCCACCGTCACGCTGTCTTTTTCAATTCCGCGATATTGCAGCGATAGACCATGTCGATAGCTTTCATTTAGAATCTCTGACAAAACTATTAGGTGCCCGGAACACTTCGTGCAGTCTTCCTGTTATGAATTATGTCCAATGAATTATTCCGACTTCAATCAGTATTTCACTTGTTTAATGGATGAAACTGATATTCGAAGCAAGTCATACTTACACCATTGGTATCGAATAAAATAGAATTATTTCACAGAAACGTTCTCTGCGTTTAAATTTAAGAATCCCCGTGAACTGTTCCCAGTACCTAATACTTCGTAGAATAACGTACAATCTCAACCACGAAGCGTCGCGATCGAAAACCGTTGAAGTTAAAGCATTGACCATGCTTATACCGTTTTTTGGAAAACCCCACATCCTTGCAGTGATTGGTTAATTAGGGTCCGGGGCCTGCGAGTACTCCAGGTATAGATGCATGTACTGTCGTGGCAGTTTTTTCCCTAGTACTAACTATGCGCCCGTCTTGTAACTATCGATTTCTACCAATAGTTTCTTCACCGTTTAACATCTCTGTATAAATATAATTATTACTCCGATATACTCTACGCGTGTATTATTTTATTTCACATAACCCCTTAACAAAAACGAACCCGAGGAAAGCCTCTCGTCACGATTCCGCCAGAAGTGGCGGCAATGCGGGATTTCCTAAGCAAACTCCGGTGCGCTTTTCCTCGAAGATCGCGCGCGCCGAAAGGTATAAACTCTACGGGAAAAGGGGAGAAAAGAAGAATGGGGGTACAAGGAAATCGTTTCCAAACAACGACAAGCGATTCGACCGAAGGAAAGAGAACGCGGGACGGGGCGGGGGCACCGAAACGGCAGCGCGGGCTACCGAAAGAGAGGAACGCAACGGGCAGGGGGTTGGCGCGGAGGAACACGGTCCGCGTTAATTTCGCCGGATAGCCTTTTCGTTTGCCCGGCTGCTGACGGTCGTAAAGCAGCTCGTTCCTTTATGCAAATTCAAAATAAAGCGCGCAATCTGACGGTGGCAGCCAACCCCGCCGCCCCCTGTTCCCCCGTCGAACGAAGAATACTCCTGTCCCCTCGCCCTCCTCCCGTCCGCGGCTCCCGACGTATTTCGTCTGGACTCGGTAATTGCGGCCTATTCTGCGTACACCACGGCTCGCCACGGCCACTTAACTTTCCCGCGAGACACTCCACGATTATATTTTGCGCCCAGACACGTGCACCCCGCCGCCCCTCATCCCAGTCGCATCCCGCGCTCTCGTTTGTCTCCGCGCGTCATCCCCCGTTCGCCGGCTGCCTCGCAGCAGCTAGATTTAATCGACTGATCGATCGGCTGCGGCTTTAATCACGATAATTGGTTGATCCGTTGAACCGCAAGTGTTTGATGTTTTGGCGTAGGCTTTGATCTAGGTCTATTATTGTCCCGTGTTTCAGGATAGTGATTGTATTTGTTTCTCTACAAATATGTATAATAATCTTAGCGAAGGTAAAGTCGAACGTTGTCTGCGTTTCGTCAGTCGGTGCCCTCTTTAGGGAAGCATCACCGAGTCGGGGCGCAATAAACAGTGAGAGCTGATAAGAGGAGGTCCTCCGGCTGAAGAGTGTCGTCAAGGCATTCTTCCTGTAGCCTCTGAAGAACACTACATTATGAAGAGTAATATTCAGTTAAGTTTTCAACATATCTCACGTCTACCAAATCCTGCGTTACGGATGGACTGAAAGGTAACCGCAGAGCTTAGAGAAATGAATTCGTATAAAGTAAACTCAAGGAAGTAGTTTCCAAACGAATTCATTCGCCGAGGCGATTAATCCCGCAAAACAAGAATCGGAATTTGGAGTGAGTCACTTCGACTCGCGAACGATCCGATCAAAGATCTCCAGCCGAACGCTATTCGTCTCTGTCCGTTCTCTATTCCCGCGACAGCGCGATCACGTTTCCCGACAGCGGCGAGGAAACACTCCGCGGCAACTTCTCCGCGTGTCCATAACTCCGTTCGGCCGGACAGCCTCGCGTTCTGTCGGCCGGTGTTTACCCACGCCTCGTTAATCAATTCCGCCGGCCCGGTACCGGCACCGGCACCGTTATCGCGTGATCCACGCGGATCTAACGCCGCGGAAGTCGGTCCCCGCACGCACGCGGCACGCCGATCGATCAGCGTCGCGGTTTTCGAGCGGAGAACGCGCCGGATCCGATACCGCCGCGCTGGTAAATTTCTTTTCTCGCCACCTCGCCCGCCGGGCAAAGATCGTCCAGCGTAATTGCCGCATAAATTCCGCCGGCTAATTACTCCGCCGATAAATCCTCGATTATCTGATCACGGGGGAAAGAAGAGAGGGGCCGGTGGATGATATTAACGCGGCTCGGTGGGAATTGAAACGAAGCCCCTCGGGCTGAATGCGATTTTCTATGCAATCCGAACGTTCCCGATAAAATCCTTATTGTTGCTCACGATTCGATCTCTTCTCTCTCGGGGCGATCGGTCACGGCGAAGGGGCAACGTTGAAATATTGAGAGCGCTCTTGGTGACCGGCGATAACGGTAGTAGCCTCCGCTGCGCGCGGACACGACGTGCACGGTCATTAACGCGACACCGTCGCAGCCAAGACAAGATCTGGGGAGATCGACCGTGGTGATCGAACAAACCGCGACCACCAGTTGATTCGATGACGGCCGTGCGTTGCCCTGCAGTGCCTTTGAATCCTCGTGTCGTTGATGTAACGACGAAGTGCCCGAGGTTCAAAGGTTTTAGAAGCAAATTAGTATTAGAAGCTTGAAGTTTGAAAGCTTTCATTAGTTCTCAGGGCACGTGGTGATTCGCTATTTATTTTCTAATAATCGATATCTTCATTTTATCCAACTCGGAGACAACGCTACCCCTTAACAGTCATCCCTTCGACAAGAACGATGACTAATAAAAAGAATCTGAGCGGAATATTTGTATAAGAACCACTTTTCACCGAAAAACTTCGCGAAGACCGATAGCTGTCACTTCGCTACATCCCTCTTTTGACCTCGACCCGATGATGTCGAGGAACATAATTACAGCCAAGATTATCCGTACTTCGATACATGGTGGTCGTATCTGTGGATGATTTACTCTGGCGCAAGGGGAAAGGTAAAAGTAAGACTGCACCGTGGATGGAGGCTATTACCGTCGCGACCATATTTTTCTTCGTTTTACATGGCCTCCTTTCGTACTCCTCGCGATACTCGGGGATGCTTGACAGGCACTCGGGAACCACTCGAATATCGATTACCCCCCCGATACTCGATGATATCCTTACATCCGTCTGCGCCGGACATTTCGTCGTTCTTCCCTATTGCGGAGAAGGAAAATAAAATCCGCGATATGTATATACTTAAAGGGATCTAAGATAAAATCGTCCTCGTAAAGGAGCACCTAATAGAGTAATCCTTCGAACGCATACCACTCCAATCATAAAACCCGATACAATTTCCTTTTGGTTAATATGTTTACCCTTTGCACTCGTGAGGTGACGCTCAGTCGCCACTTGATTTGATGTAGCAAAATTATAAAGTTTAATATTTAATATTAATATAGTTAATAAAGTATAATGTTCAATATTTAACAAAATTTTATGTTTAACATATAACAAAGTTAATATTTAATGTTTAATAAAGTTAATGAAGTTCAATGTTTAATATTAAACTTTGTATGATGCACCAATTCGTGAAACATTGAAATAAAACAACTTTGTTCCTTAATTTACGCGCAGACGATGGTTAAGTTAGTTTTAGAAAGCATCGTCTACGTATATTCAGAAAACGTTGAATATTTCAAATAAAAATCTTTGGAGTGCAAACGGTTAATATCTCCTGCCCACGAACGTAATTGACCGCGACAGGGACGTTCCGCGAGGACGATTTCTCATTAGACGACAGATGCCACCTTCGAAAATGCAAATTGCGGCCTCGGCGAGGGGGTAAAAACTCGGCCGGCTTTCTCTCTCTCGGTTTCAATCGAGTCGATCGATACGCGTACTTACTTACTTACGTACTTACTTACTTACCGTACATACGTAAGGGGCCGCTGTGTATTTACCGGTGTGTCGCTCGTGTACGAGCACTGTGCCTTATCAGATGTTACATAAAGCAGATAAGCATCCACCGGTGGCTTGTAAAACTTAAATTACAGGGGAACAGTTCCGGAATACGAGTTACGGTCCGGGCACCGGTGTCATTCCAACTGTCGCGAAGGAATTGCCGGCGGTATCGGTTGCACGATCGACGCGGGGATCGATCGCGGCTGTTATTGAATCGCTATCATTGGCTCGGCTAATTCACGACCAATAGCGAGGTGAAAGATCGGCCGTTACGCACGCCTCTGTGAATTTAATATCGATGACATTTCGACTAACGATCGTTCGTCTTGTTTTTAGTTCTCCAGCGTTAAAAGAGAAATTTTTGTGATGGTTACACATCGGAATACTTTTCTCCAAGAAACTCTTACAGAGATTTTGTATATAAATCGTGAATAATCGTCGAAATATTCAAAATTAAATTAAACTTTTCGGAAAGTAGCGGAATGATTCTGATATTGGATTCGTGTTGGTGCTGCGACAATCGCCGAGTAGATATAGCGACCTAAAATTCTTGTCGGAAGGATCAACACGCGGAAGCAGTGCCCTCGAGAGACCGTCGAAAAGAGAAACGACAGAACGAGCAGAAAGAAAGAGAAGAAAAAAGTCGAAAGGAAGCCTGGAACTTATTATTCGAGCGATGTTCGCTCAGGTGCCCGAAGCGTAAAAAGGAAAGAAATCCGATCAGGAAATTACCCGGGCAGTCGTAAAACCGATTTCGTGCCGGTGTCGCTTTAATCCTCTCGCGCGGGCGCAAAAATATTAATTCGAAACCCGGTCAAATGGCTGCTTAAGGGGACACGACCCCCTCTATTCCGAGTTTCTCGGCCCATGCTGATCCGCGCGTTAAAAGCGGCGTGAAAGCACGTAATTGCGCGTGCCGCGCGGCGCGCATTAATTTCTCTCGATTAGCTTTTGAACAGACGCGGCTGTGATTCGTGCGTTGCGTACCGGAGACGAAAAAAGAAAGGAAGAGAGAGGAACCCGGCCGATTATGGAATTAAGCGGGCGACCGGGGACGGCTCCGCGAGCCTTCGTTAAATCGCGGTCGCGTTTAATTGGAATTGATCGGGACACCGATTACCGTCCGCGCGGAACGCGTTCCTCCGAGGAAAATCTCATTTTTTCGTCGTGGAATGTCTAAACTTTTTTTATTTCCTGCGGAACGCAGCGATCGCCGAGTGAAATTTTAAGGTATGACTTGGTATCCATCTACGAAAGCAAAGTGAAAAGTTCGCTGTCTAATCTGATATGAAGGAAAAGTAGTAACGGTTGAGAGATATTGATATACGTCGAAGAAGTGGAGTCTCACAGATTGAAATTCAAAGAAATGTAGAGACAGCAAGATTGAAAAGTCAAAATATTATGATCTGAAACTAAAAGTTTCATATTCTGATTGATTAACAATTCGAAACAAAACTGAACGTTCGAACCATCCTGGGAAATTCTCGTATATCACAATTATTCCCATCACATTCAACTGAAGTAGCGGTACAACTTAATTTCGCTACAAGAATCAATTAACAGTAAAAACGAGAAACGAAGCTGTAACCGCTCGAACAATCAGTTCACTGTTTGGACAACACTCTACCGGGTGAACGGTTCTCCTCAGACCGACTTTATTCCACGGACCACGGAACGTCTATAATCCTGGCCCAGTTTCGTACGGAAATCCGGTAATGAATGGCACGGGGTGGCTCGCCAGTGGAAGACAGACACACGAACCCCTCGCGGTTGAGCCGTCGCTCGCGTCGGTCACGCTAACGACCTACATAAAGAAGAAACTGCTAAGGGGAGGAAGACCTAGAGAACGATGCTTTACCAGCTCGTGTTTTCTTCAGCGTCGGGGTAATGGCATCATGAGCGGATCAAATCCTTACAAAACTTCAACATTCTTCCGGGAGACAACGAAGAAAGTCGGATCCGCTGAAAGAGGCTAGCTCACGCGTGTCTAGCCAAGAGAATCCGGTGAACGGTGTACTTATATCGTTCGCCGGAGAGAATGGAACTTTCTATCGCGCAGAACGGAAGGAGAGGATCTCGGCGTGGATCGATATCATCCGGTCACGATCGAGCGGCGCTTATCGCGGAATGGCTGCCCGGCGAAAACGCTTGCCGCGCAATGAGGCGATCCGTAGTCCCCCGGTGCTCACAAAAGATCCCTCGCGAAAACGACACGCGTTTCTCTCTCTCTCTCGCTCTTCTCGGTCTCTTTCCCTCCTCGTCGTCTGATTCGCAGTCGTCAGGTACTCGTAGAGTCCAGCTGAAGGAGAGACGAGAAGAACGGCTCGTCGCTTCAAGAAACACAAGAGAATGAAGAGTACGTGCGCGTGTGCGCGCGGGCGGGTGTGTATTTTTTTTCTCTTCGTAAGAACGGAGAGACAGGTGAACATAATACCTGCGTCACGGTACAATGACGGGCGTTGGCTGTGTCCAGAGGGGGCGAGAGACTACTGGCAGAACGAGAGAGACAAGGGTGGCACGCGTTTTTAGTGCTTTTCATCGTTGCCTCGCTCGCTCGCTCGCTCGCGCGCTGCGACCCGTCTAGGGCACTCCATCACGGGACGATGACACACACCGTCGCTCCGCAGTTATCTATCCGGTTGTCTAGTCTAGAGCGCATCTCTGTCTCCCGTTTTTCTCGGCTACGCGACACGGGGACCGTACCGGCGAACAAAACGCGGCCGGATTTCGACGCGGCCCCGAGCCCCGAGCCGCGAGACGACGCGACGCCTCGCGACCGTCGTGAATCGCGCATTGTCCGTCCGCGGAACGCCGCCGGACGTCGGACGACGGGCACGCTCGTTTGCTCGTTCCGAGAAACCGGGCTTATTGTCAGGAAGCGCGCCTCTGGTACCGTTGCGCGTTAGGCATTCTGAATGGGAATGGAACGGGAGCTCGTGACGAGTAATAATGGGAAGACTTGGAGGATTATCGAGCGTTTAAGGAACTTTCTGCCGGCTTTCGGCGACACGGAAACGCGTCATTGTTTTTCGGGGGATTGTTCCCGGCGATGAACGCGTTGAGCGATTCGTTTTTTGTCACGTCCACCGGAGCTCGAGGAGAGATCGCGTCGAGGCTTAAAGAGAAGAATATAAGGGGAATAATGGAGAACGTAAGAGCAGTTTCTTGAAATTTGTTTAAACCTTTGCGCTATGATTTCTTTCTCAATTCTGATCGATGCGACTACTTTGTCATTAACGACTTATTGGGAAAAGGGAAAAATTGTAGGCGTATTCTATATCTACGTTTGCTCTTGAGTATAATAATTACAGAGGAATAATATTTACTTTGAATGCGAGTAATATTTATGTTAAATCATGTTGAGCATCATCGCGAGTTTGGCTTCATTAAAAGGCAAGGGGTTAATACTTGGCCTCGTTTCAAATGGAAATCTTTGTTAATGGGAAGAAACATTTGTCCCTTATCCTCGAAGCTCTACAGCAGAATTCTACAGCGTATTAACGCGGTGTATCAAAGGAATACATTTCGTTAACGAATGAAACCGTCTACTTTTCAATGTAAAGTTGCGATCGCACGCGAAAAACGAAGATTAATTCCGTGCAGCGAAATTCTGAAGAAACCGTGGACCTCGACGGAATTAATTCGCCGCTTGGTGACACGCGAACTACATACCTCCACGTTTCGGATACATGGGGCGGAAATGAACCGCTGTACGCGAAGCCGTGTCCGTTTATCATTTCTCTGAAGCGCCATTGACATCCTGCTCGTCGGTTCACTTGAAAATGCAGCGTCGATACTAACAAGGATCGTTACGACGGGTCCTAAATTATTTAATTCACTTTCTATACGTCGTAGAAACCGTGCTCGACTCGGCACGGTGAAAGGACTATCGTTGCGCGGTGGATCTTTAGAAAGGCAGCTCGACGATACGGCCGCGGGGAGTTTGAATCGCGACTCTCGGCGGAAAGCTCGTTTAAAAAGGGACCAGGGCTGTACGTGTGTAAACAATAATGCAGCCAGTTGCTCGGAATCGCGCACGAGACCCACCCAGCGAGGCAGGAAACGACGTGACTCCGCGAAATTAAACTAAAATCCGAATATCGGTAGAACCTCTCTTCGCGGAACGGTCTGTTGACTCTACAATGAAGCAAAATCCTGTTCGTCGCAGAAAATGAAACCGATACGTGCAGAAATCGGGATGCAACGTACGAAGCAACTAGTGATAAGATCCGTTTCCTCTCTGCTCCAATATAGGCGTTCTACGTAACAATCACGAGTTTCCTGAAGTTCTGGAGCACACGGCAACAAACGAGGATTCCACTGTGAAATTCGATTGTGCCCGACCGAGACACGTATCCACCTTGGCGAAAACCGTGGAAAAACGATCGATCGGGAAATTCGCGAAACTCGCCCGTCGAAACGGCGGAGCCGTGATTAACGGCAAACAGATCCCGTGATCCTGGGCTAACGAGCTGACCCAGATACACGGCTGCGTCGCAGCGGCCCGGCCGAAGGACCGGCCAGTAACGAAGGCAAACACAATGACAAAGTTTCTGGTACTTACTGGTGAGTGGTGACGTTGAAGAAGAGATGGGAGTACTGGGGTGCGGAGTCCTCCGTTCCGTGCGGCGCCGGGAAACTCGCGACGAGCATCACCGGCTTCCGGGCGAAATTGTGTTTGCTCTGTCTGAGAAAAGCCACGCTGTCGTTCGCTATCAGGTCCGGATAATAGTCCTTGCTGTACTCGAAGCCGTGCTTTATCTTCTTCCCGTTCATGTTCACGCTGTAGTTGTAGTACCGTGAATTCATTATGAGGCCGCCCCACTCCCGCCATCCGGGCGGTATGTACAGACCGTTGTACTTGTTCAGATACTTGCCGAAGTACCCTGCAAAACGTGTGTTCCGCGATAACGGCCGGATACGAATCCGCGGAAAGGGTGGACGGGGAAAGCGGGAGGAAAGGAGAAAGAGACAGTCGGTCGGGTCGACCGGCTGTCTCGCACCGTGCACGACTTTATTACACTTTCACCCTTCGACGAGATGGCGAACGCGCAACGAAAAGGCAGCCGTTCGTTGCATAAATTATTCCCACCGCGTAATTACGAGGTTTACTTGTTCAAAATCGGCGGACAGTGACCTCCGCGTCGGATCGGATGAAATGTAATCCGACTCGCGTCTTGATAATGATAATTGAAACGTAAACGTTAACTCGATTACGACATCACTTTCTAGAATTCCTGAGTGAAACTCTGAAACGAAACATTAATCGTTTCGGTGAAGATTATATAATTATATTGATTGAACTGTTTTGTAGCTGTCAGGTATCCCTACTGTTTCTTGTTGCTCTCGGTTTGCGTGGGCTTTCGCGAACTCGCTCAGACTTCCGACCAATCAGCTGCAAGTGTATCCCCACCACTAAAGATTCCTCTATCCCTCGATCGAATTCGAAGATGAATCGATATAAGTGTCTCTCGATAGTTTCACTATCTTAGCCTTGGATTTGCTGTGTTTAGAATGCAGAACCCTTACAGCCTTTAAAGGATTGACAATTTAAAAATTCAAGATATTAATCTTTCAACGCGAGGCCAGTCACATTTCGCGTTTCTCTTCGGACAGGTTGCCTCAAGAGTTTCTCGAAAAATCACCAATCGTAGCTTACGATCGGGTGAATAATGGCCGCAAGGCGTGGCCAGTCCCCTAAGCCCGCGTTCGACAAAAAAACACCCCCATCCCCCTACTATCGCAATAATAATTAATGTGCTATGGACACGCTCGGCTCGTCGCAGGAACTGACTCATGTAACAGATCGATTACCGGTCGCCGACGTTATACTTTTATTTCGCGCGGCCTGCGATCGCCTATACCGATAAGTACGTATGGATTTTATCCCGAGAATTATCACGAAACATTCAATTATCGTGTTAACCGTAACCAGCAATTACCACTCCCGCGTTCACTTTTCCGATGCAATCGGAACTCAACGCATCAAGAGTAAGCGTCGAATCTATCATCTGATCCTCGAGCAGGATGTTTCGCTGAAATCATTCCACCTCTAAAACAACCTCGAATACCGAACGGTAAATAATCTCTAAACGTCCAAGAGGGTAACGAAACCAAGCGTTTCAGTTAAAAGCGGACGATCCACGGAAACGGGAAGCATCAAGAAGAATAAATTACACGCGGCGTGGAATACGGGGAACAAAGGGAACAATAAGATAATGAAATTTCCTCGGTTCCGTCTCCCTCGATCTTCCTTCGCGAGGAACGTCCGTGAGGTATCGCCGGAGCTTTTCTTCCCGTAGGGCCTCGATAAATCAAAAGGCAATCCCATTTTCCGCTCGCTATCGGGCAGCCGCATAAACGGCGCGTCGCTTCGGTCAAGATTCATCTTGCCCGGCCGTTGAATTATTCATACGGGAGCAAAATCAAATAATTAATTCAGAAGTACCACACCGGCGCGGCGCCCCCCACCCCCCTTTCGCCGTCCCCGCAGCGTTTACATACCTGTACCGGTAGCCCTGGTACCGCGGTAGGGCTCTCTCTCGGTGTATCGAGCCTATACCGAGCGGGGGCTTATTTATAACAGTCGCGCGGGGCCCCGAGCCGGGCCCAGTTCGGGCCCGGGACAACTTTTTGCCGGCCGGGGACCACCGAGCAGGACCAATCGCATTACTCTCGTTTTGCGTTAAACGATGACATCTCAATAAAGGGCCGCCTTGTCCGCTAAATATAAAGAACAGTAAATCTTCCTGGAATACCAAGGGTCCCCTCGGACGCTTGCAGCGGAAATTCCGGCGAGACGCGGCCTCGATGCTCGCGGCGTCCGATAGGTTACCCGGAATCGCGGTGGTGTCGCGAATCATGAGATTCCACGATGTACAATCGCTTGGGGATTGAGGTTCTTAGAAATTATTGCGATGAAGAGGATTAGTAACTTGTAGATTGACTTGATACGGTGTCTTTAGGATTTCTTTCATACTTGTGCCGACATTGTACTTCGCTGATGATAGAAGGAGAATAATATTGTTTATATATCTACAATTAATGTACAAATTAATTATTCATTTTTATCATAGATTACAAAGAAACGATATCTTATTTTACACTAAAGGAAATGAATAATTATAGTTTCATTCTATTACTTCCACTCGAAATCTTCGAAGTAGTGGGTAATGGTGAACCTCTCGGAGTCCATAAGAGGGTGACTGTCCTGAGGATGATCATGGATCGATATCATGCGTTAGCTCCCCAGAAACAAAATCCCTCGCGATGTAGCTCTGCCAGTCCGGTTTTTTCCCGGAGCACGAGCCGAGGCGCACGGAGCACGGGAAAAAGGAGTCGCGGGATTAATTAGCGACGTCGTTCGAGAAACGTTTTCTCGATCGTCGTCGGGATACTGTTGCGTCCGGTTTTCGAAAGCGGGACACGTTTCTCACGGAACAGGTTTCAAGGATCACGGCTGATTCGCTGCCGAGGAATTTGCATAAACGGCCATTCCCGCGGCTCGACGGCCGCCGCCGCGATTGCGCTTTAATTGTCGATAATTCGGGCTTATTGAGTGGCGTGCCGTGAATACGTTAGCTGTAGGGGGACACCGACGACGTCCGGAGTTATCGGGTAATCGAATTAATCGGGCCGCGCTCGGGCGTGACTTATGTCGGATTTCCTTTTCGCTGGAGAAAAGAGAGCGGCTCGACCACCTGCGAATAATCGCCGGACTCGTTGTCCTGATCCTTCATCATGGGGCGGATTATTGGACTTGTCCCCTTCCCGCATACTTGTCGCGCCTTCGTTCAACCCCTATGCAATTCATCAAAAACTGTTCCGTATTTTCTGTCTTTATATTCATTTATTTCCATTAATCTTCCTTTCCGTTTCGAAATAAGGTATTTCACTTAGGAACTGTTGTAGAATGCAAATAGACGACTTGGCTGATTAACATGAAGTTCTCGTTTAAAAGAAAAGGAAACAGTTTGACATTGCTCGGAACTTTAAATGCTTGCAAATGTCGATCGGAAAAGGTCCTAAACGAAAGTTTGAATCTAACGTTTAAATTCTTGGCGTTAAATATCTTATGTTAAAGAGGCCACCGGTGAATTCTTTGAAAGTCCATCGCAGTTCCAAAGAAGAGATAAAAGAGAAAAGTAGAAGCTGCACGTCTCCCGAAACGATATCCCCGAAAAGACCGTGTCGCTGAAAGAGGAAAATCCCACGTAATCCCCTGGATATCCGCGCGGCGATTCCCGCACCCCCGCGCGACGGCGGTCCATTTCTCGTGCATTACTTCGTCTATCGATTCCGTCAGCAGACGAGCGCGTCGCGTATTTCCCGAGGTCGTTGCTACGACCGCCTCAAGTGGCGCTTTACTTAGCGCCAGCCTAAAAATACCTGGATGCACTAGGCCAACCGTAAATATCAATTAGATTGTTATCGCGAAACGCGCGTTGCATGCGAGGAACGCGATAGCCAGTCCTTACGGCGCATATACATTATACGGGCTGCTCCAATAACGATCGGACCGGGTTGCTAACGAGCCTAATTGGTGCCTCGTCATTCCGGTTAATCGCTGTCGCGGCGCGTTTCAAACAGGGGCGCGTGCCACCGGGAAATCGTTATCGGAACAAGAGCTGGATCTCGCGTCGATCCCTCCGCTTGTTCTCTCGACAAGAGGTCCGTTCTTCAAGAGAATCTATGTGATTACAACCTGCACGGTTCGTGCGGCAAGTCCATTTTTCATCTCGATAAACCGAAGGCCGAGCGTTTTAGTCTCCGATGCATCATCGTCGTTATCCGACATTGCATACAACAAAGTATTGGCTGAAATAGACTCAGTTGAAGACCATAAAGTTTCCTTTCAACTGTATCTTAAGATATAATTTGGTTGGACATTGAGGCTAACGATTAGTATGCAACTGTTATGTATTATAAGGTATCACTAGTAATTATCAGTTAATATTCATTGCAATTGATTTCAATTGTATATCGGTACCAATTAACGATTACATAAGACAGTTTATAACTGAGTCTACTTGTTATGTTTGAATCATCAGTAATAGATATGTAAAATTATGATCATTACTGTCCTTACAATGTTCCATTCCTGTAATGTTGATCACAATCATTACTTCTGCCCAACTGTGACATCACTTACTCGTAAGCGTGAAACGAGGACCCGACCAGAACGCGGGTGGATTACCAGAGACGACGCGACGCGACGCGGCGATGCGTTACCTGTTGCTTCCCGTGGCGAAGAGGGGTGTGCCGCGCGGCCGGCTACGCGGAAAAATCTCGGCGAGACCTCCTCGCGAAACCGGACAGAAACAACGACGACGACTTAGCGGTCCGGCTCGTAAAAAGCGATGCTGGGGGAGGGACATGCTCGTTCGATCGGTCCGTCCGACAAAAGCGGGACAAAAGGACGAGGCGAGGAGCGGTGATATCCTGGCGCCAGTCGCGCGGGGTTCCGTGGTTCGGTCGGAGGGAACGGAACAAAACGAATGGTCGTCGGACACAGGCCGGGTGGATTGCAGCCGGTCGATGCAGCGGATACGTGCACGCTGTTGTATGCGGCGAAAGGAATATGGGCCAGGCCGGCGAACGTTGGATCCGCGAAAAAGGGGATGCATCGTGAGCAGAGCGTTGCGGCGAAACCGGGGACGAAGGTTCGAATTCCTTTGTATTTGGCTAGTTCTTTGGTTACTTCTAAATTAGGTTGGGTATCGGGAGAATAGGGATTTTAGGAGCGCTTGAATTCCAATCTTGCGAAGCTAAGAAAGGAAAGCAAAGAGTCTCTTCGATGGGATCTAATATAACTCGTGCGCAGATGTTATCTATAATTGCCATATTATATCTGAAAAATTATAAAAAAAGTAGGTCCACGCTAGAA